AAACTATGAAATAGTGATACAAAAATGAGACTGAAGCAGCTGAATTTATATGCATAACAGTGGACCCAGATTTTTTCCAGGACTAGAGGCAAATGAGACAACTTTCATTTGAATCATAACACGCCACACAAGGTGATGACATTATGACATTAAATGACTCCACACACCTAACTGTTTCTGCTTCGCAAGTCTCCTCTCCAGAGCCAGCCGTTTGTTGAGCTCTATGCACCGCTGCTGTTCCTCAGTCAGAGAGGCTGGAGAAGGAGTAGAATAGACAAACGGATCTTCAGGGAAACCTTCGTCTCCAACTGGATCATACTCTTCCAGTACTCGACCCTCACCCTCCTCTGAAGGGAAGTAGAAAGTCAATGAATTTTTACCTGCTGCTTTCAATAGTAGTGTAAGACAGCCAAAAGTTGAAAGGTATCATTACCGACATAGTCCTCATGCGTTATTGGCATGTCCAATCGAATTCATTTTAGACATGTCTAATGGAGAAACAAAGTACAGCGTTAACAAAGGATGCAGACAATTTCCATGGAGGATGTACAATATCACACATTGAGAGTTTTTTTTAATGAGGTCCACACTTCCTGGATTAAATATCGTGTTGACACAGGATGCGTTCTTGCGTTGATTAAACAAAAGGCGTTTATATGTGCTTTAATTCCCATGTACTGTTGTTAAAGCAAAAATTTTACCTTAAAAACATGGCAATCATGGTGTGGCTTCAAGAAAAAACTGCGAGACATGGCACAACAGCCTAAGACAAGAGACAAGAGTAACAATTAAAATAGATTGGTTGGATAGGCCCTGAGTTTAAGTATCGGCACATGGTCTTTTCTTCCCCTCTCTTATCACTTCCTGTCACCACTACTGTCCTATCATAATAAAGGCATAAATGCCAAAAATATAACTTTTGCCAAATATATAAACAAAAAAGCAAATAAAATTTAAATGGAAAAAAAAATGCAGATAGTTTGTAAGAACACATCCTGTGTGAACAGCCCCTAGTTAAGCGTGAATTTGCCTCCAGAACAAATGTTCTTTTTCATGTCAGACATCTTACCTGAACTTCTCTTTTACTTCCCAGACTCTCCACTTTATCAATGAACTCCTCAAACTGCATTTTAGGATATAGGCGATGGGCCCAGTTGTCCATCTTCTGCAAGAGGATGGAGCTTCAGATTCTCTGCCTGAATCAGAAATGAACGAAGAGGGTGAGCACTATGAACAGCAGGGATTATGTAGCATGGGACAGCAGGATGAGGAATTGGAACACCTCACAGCTCAAGATTTTGAGCACTTATAACATATAAGCACCATTAATCCCTTTACATCTAATTTTTAGAATGGTTAAGAATGAAACACAGACCCTCTCCATTGCCAAAAGGATCCTCCTCGATGTCTCCCCGACCAGGCGATGATGGAGGAGGCAGAGGAGGGAACCTCTCGTCCTCTATGTGCTCATAATCTGGGACGTCAAACAGGCCATTTTCTAACGGATCGAGCATGGTGCATGGGATCCTGTAGAGATAGGAGCATATGATCAATTCTACAACATAAATACAATTTAATTTTACTTTCAGTGGTGTTTAAGTTCACTGGCTGTTTCACTTTTGAGTGTTTCTGAACAGGAAGACATGGCAAAGAACCTACAGTTCAACAGTATCCAAGTGATCAAAGTGACCAAATACACAAAACAGTAGTTATCACCGTCTAAAGTCTAGGTTTTCCGGGGGTCCGTGGTCAAATATTTTTAAATTATAAAATTAAATGTATGTTTACTATTTCGAATAAATCTTGTATATTGTAAATTATTTAGCATTAGTAATATTTTTAATGTAACAACCTGTCACCACAATATTGCTTCTGTAAAGCGATTCTAGTAACAGCAAACAGAAGCCAATCATAAATTGCCTCAGCATTTATCGTATTAAACATTAAACGTATTTGTACTGCCGCAGATACGCTGTTTAGTCTATTAAACTGTTAAAATGTTGAACAATATTTACTTCAATGCTAAAAAGAAACTCATTTTTGAAGTATGTTTCAGAAGACGGTAGCGTAACGTTACCCGTTGCAGGCTATATTCGTCCAAACAATGTCATTGCCTCATAATTTTATGAAAAGATTACGGGTTTTAAAAATAGTCTGAAAAGTACATAAACGGTACAAAACTCACATAATTTAATTATCGGAAGTCATCCTTGTATTAGCACACATACAATCATAGTTTAGTTGTAGAATTGAACGGATAACGTTACATGTTAATCGTAGAGGACAGTTGTTTTGTTCGTGTCAATCCGCACATCGCCCTCAGTTTCGCCCATGTCTGGATGTCAAACTCAACCGATATCACTGTAATTTTAGTGAAAATCTGAATATCAATGCGGTCCATCGAACTTACTGAATATATGCTGTCAAAGGACGAAACTTCAACACCGACCGCAGCACGAGAGATCATCAATACAGCGCAGAGCCAAAGTTTCCACCGCGGCTTTCCGCTCAGCCAATCAGATCTCTGCTACGGCGAGCGTCAGTGGTTCTGTCGCGTCGCTGTTGTTGTGGCTGATGCGAACTGCGACGTCTACCGCGCCGGAGAAACGGCAAGAAGTCAGACTTTTGCAACAAAACGGACAGTTTGCTAGAGTGTACCGAGGTAGACACATCAAAATACCAAAACAGATATAATGCAGGGTTTCAAACTTTATTGAAAGCACAGATCTCATACATGTGTATCTTATACTGCAATATATGTATGTATGTATGTATTGTAGTTCCACAAACACATTTATTATAATATGTATTTCATTGTCTGTTTGTTTGCCACGTATACAAACGCCATTGTTAATAGGGTTTTCAGAAACGTCCATCTAACTTTTCTCACCTCATAATCAAACACCCAAACCTCAACTTATCCTCCGAGTAATTTGTTGAGAGATGTTTGGATGGTCCAACAATTCATGAACACAGATGTACATCTGTGGACCATTTTATTTGAAGTTGCATGTAAACAAGTCTCAGCATGTCATCATTATTAATAATAATCAATAAAAAAGAAATGTACGGACAGGTGCGATGTGAAAAAATATAGTTGTGTAAATGTGAAGCAGTCTGTTTTATATTCGTGTTCTAAGCAGGAACATGAGAAAGACTGCACTGAGGAGAATGCAGAGAGTGCACACAGTGGGGACGACAATCTCTGTGACCATCTCCATGTGGCTGATCAGTGGATCTGGAGAAAAACAAAGGTGAGTCAGTGACAACTAATAAAAGATACATTCAGTGAAAACATAAAGGTATTTGAAAATAGCACTAGCACTGAACAGAAAACATGAAACATGACATCCTGAGCCCTGTACCTAAACTTCATCATGCACAGGCCAAACCTTTGGCATATCTGCATGTTCCTTATTTTCCTTGGACTTTCTTCTAGCTGAAAGGGCATACAAAAGAAAATTCCTGTTAGAAAGTTACCATATAATTTCCTTCTCTATATGTTGTGCTTGGTTATAAATAGAAAATGTAATTTGTGACAGAATTTTCTTTTATTTGCCCCAGCTAGATCACTGCCGGCTGTGCTGCCTAGTGGGGAGAGAAGTCAGCAACAGTTACACTAACCTGCCGCAAGGAGCTGGTTACTTGAGGTGCATGTTTCCAGTGCCTTTCTTTTCCAGCTTTCAATCTGTGGTAAACATTATCCAACGTAAATGCATAAGATGTAAACTGAGACATAATATATATTTATCACAGATTGCACAAAAATGCTTAGACTCTTGTACTCTTTGACTCAAAAGAAGAAATACACATTTAATTTAGCATACAATTTTAATGCTAAACTCAATGAAGTCATACCTCTCTCTGATTAGGGAAGCCATTCGAGCTGATGATGTGCTTGTAGTACTGAACTGATGCTTTTGGGTAGCGTGGTTTATTTTTGCTGTCAAAGTCCACGTAGTACAGGCCAAATCTTTCAGAGTAGCCCTCATCCCATTCAAACTTGTCAAGCAATGACCAAGCTGTGTAGCCTTTCACATTTACTCCATCTTTAACCGCTGAATGAAAAAAACAAAACAAACAAAAACGTTCCTTTGAGTGGTTGTATAGACTTTATTTATCAACGTATGAAGAGAACTATGATTTGGAGCTCTGTAGAACGTTTGTGCTTGGAAGGAAGCCTTTTTAATTTTTATAGACATCAGTCAGTCAAATGGTCAGTCTGTAATCAAGTTTCCGTACATTTTAATTTGCATGTTCTAAAAGTTTTTGTGAATCAGGTCGAATTGCTCAATTCATTCAGTCTATTCTAAGACAGTGGTTCTCAATGTTTTTGACTGAAAGGCCTCCCATTTTCCAACTCAATATTCATAGTCCATTCATAACCATCATAATGGTTAAGAGATTTCCTCTGATATTTCTGCTGAAAGTATGACAATGCTGACTGTTTTCAAATGTTTTTATTAACAGAAATTGGGAGTGTTGAAATGAATTAAACGATTCTATAAGATTCAGGTTTTTCTATAAAAATAGTCTTTGAGGGGAAAAAAGAAATATGATTTCAGTTTGATCATTTCATCTTGATTTCTTTTTTGTATTTATGGCATCTTAATGAAGTTTACATATATAAATATATATATGTTCTGGCTTCCTTGTTGAGAACCACTGGTAAGAGCATTTAAAGATAGAAGGCATAGATTTCTATATTGATTCTGACCTTTGAGCATTTCATTGATGTAATCCCTCAAGTACTGCATTCTCCAGTCATCACACAGTTCTGTGCACATCATCTTCTCTGATACACCATTTCCTGTCACGTATATAATGGGGTCTCCGTACTGTGTCTAAGAATAAAGAGATTTGAGTCACAAAAGGACAGTGTGCCATTCCTAGTCAGACTACTGCCCACAGTCTGGAAGTAGCTTTTTACAGAAATATACCTTTACAAAGCTAAGCAGACGGCGGAAGCCCCATGGCACAGAGTAGAGCCACTCTGATCCAGGATCAGGCCACTGTGGGTCTACCAGCTCAGCCAGGTCACGGTCAGTGAAGTAGCTGTTTCCACGGTTGGAAGGAAAGTTCTTTTGTGTGATGTAGCGCGTAGTGAAGTGACTGATGCCCAGGAAGTCACAAGTGCCTCTGACATAACTTTTCTCATGAGGGCTGAAAGTAGGCAGGCGAGAACTACTCAGGCCCTGCTGGGCACTCTTCCTACCTGCAGAAATGAAACACAGAAATACTTATGTAATAATTGTAAATGATCATCAGCCCCAGCTAAATAAGCCTATCATTTTTTTTTCAGTTTATTTATGGTTTGCTTGCCTATGTAGTCTTTCATTATTTGAGGATAGTCTCCATGGAAGAGTGGCGTGGCAAACCAGCCCAAGTAGAACTGGACATATCTTTCAGCAGCTTCTATATCACGCTGATTGTTGATGTCCACTGGTTCTCCCCAGTCAGCTGACAGGGAGATGCCCACCATTCCTAAAATGGCAGAAACACTTGTACCAGTTTGGACCTTTGTGCCTTTCAAATTTCAATATCTGAAATGTGTCTACCTTTCTGTTTGTTTCGCCACTGGGCATCGTATGTGTGCCAGACCTTAGCATGAGCCTGTCAATGCAGCAGAGGATAAAAATTAGCTTAATTTCACTGCCTTTGTATTCTTATCAGAAACAGTGATTTTAATAGTCAGAAATATTTTCTGAATAGTTTATCCCTAAATGCATGCTTATTTTTTTTCTCTGCTGTCCATAATCAGAGAATTGCATTGCTAATTTAGCGTAATAATTATTTCTGTTGTTCAATTATTATAGTCATTCGACTACAATGGACTGCAGTGTATTTAATCACCTTAATGATATTGTGGGCAGCATTATAGGCGCCAGTACCCCTCATCTTCAGACCAGGAGCATGTTCTCCAGTCTCATAACCCTCCACTGCAACAGACTGGAAATATGGAAGGGTGTAAGGGTGGACTTTAAACCAGATAATAAACTGATTATTCTCATGTATGTACTTTGATGAACATCAAAGTAACCGTGACATGATTTTTTTTTTTTTAGCTTTTATTATATCAAACATTTTGAAGAGTGAAAGAGATTGCATTTAATATTGTGGAATTTCTGGAGAAAGAACTGCATGAAAATGAATTACAAGCTGGAATTGTAATAGTGGACGCTACTTTTACAATTCTTACCCAAGGATTGTTGAAGGTGATCCAGTATTTGACTCGATTGCCAAATCTCTCAAAGCACAGGTTGGCAAAATCATTGAAGAAGTTGATCATACTGGCATTTTGCCAACCTCCATATTTCTCCTCCAGAACCTGCAAAGGCACAGATATGATTTTGAAAGTTAAATCAATTTGATGTATACTCTTTTTAAAGATATGTACTCTGACATACTTATCATACATAGTTTTTGAAAGAGAATTTGCTGCGTCTGAATATTCCTAATTCACAAGTACCCGAATGACCTACTACTTCCAACTAGATTCTAATATGTGCATCCAATGGACACTTTAATATCCTATGATGCCACGGGAGAGGAGCGAAGCAGTGACAGTGACAACATGGCGGATGTAGTATGTCCAAATTTCATTCATACTACCCATATTCATTCTATATAGAACATACTTTTTAACGGTCATGAAGTCAGTTTCAAACCAAATGTAGAACCTACTGGACAGTACGTACAGTATGTGATTTCAGACGCAGACATTTTGTTTTACCTGAGGTAAGTCCCAGTGGTAGAGTGTCACAATTGGTGTCATTTTGTTCTCCAGAAGCATATTAATTAGGTTATCATAGTGCTCTATCCCTTTCTCGTTGATGTAGTCAGCTAAAAAAAAACAATCAGAAAAACTTTTGTTAATTACTTTGGTAATTATTAAAAAAACTTTTTTTAATTTTTTATTTGGCATAATTAATTTGAATTACTCTTAATGCCACTGGGCAGAATCCTTGGCCAGGAGATGGAAAAGAGATAGTGGTTCAGCCTCATGTCTTTCATCAGTGCAATATCATCCTAAAACATACATTAAAAAGATTATCTTTGAACCAAAGCATCTACATACATCACTGTGTATTTCTGATCAAGAAATCATAGCACCTTTATTTTATAATAGCCTTCACAGGAAGAGTCACCAGTGTCATTCAGGTGAATTTTCCCTCTTTTGTGAGAAAACACATCCCAGATGCTCTTTCCTTTTCCATCTTTATCCCATGCTCCTTCTGTTTGATATGCTGAGCTGCCCACGCCCCAAGAGAATCCTGAAAATGTATGCATACACACTTTGCTATTTATATAAAAATAGTATATCTAATTCTTGTGTATATGTGTTTGTAAATGCATTCATTATATAGAATCCTGAAAATGAATAATTTATCTAAAATAATATCAAATGTTACTGACATTCTTCGAAATATTTTATTTTGTGTTCAGCAGAAGAAAAGAAATTCATACAGGTTTGTGACAGCTTGAGGGTGAGATGACAGTATTTTCATTTTTGGGTGAACTATCCTTTTAAGTAAGACAGGATTATTATTTACAGTGTTATTTACTTGCGTTATACTTTACATATTTTGCATATTCTGTGTGATATATCACTTGATATATTACCGAATCGATATATTATTCTTTATATTTTAATATTTGTTCTTAAAGAACACACTTCTATTTGCTGTTGTTTGTAAGTGTTATTTGCTGTTACGAGTAATGCTTTACCTGAAGCAAATGTGCCATATTGAAATGATCCTATTTTGTTCTTGGTCCAGTCAAAGTCTTCACTGGCAAAAATGCACATTGCCAACAGAAGAATGTGGCATATCCTCAGCACACTGTGTTGTAGCATCCTCTTATTCTCATAGGGGTTTGTTTTTCACCAGTATCACCTGCACAGATTAAAACAGACTCATTTTACTTACAGGCACACCTTTGAAAATGTTTCCTCAATTCTTAAATAGGCATATATAGAGACACTTTAGGTCAGTTTTCCTCATTTCAACAACAAAAAAAAAAAACATACTCCGAGTGGTCAGCTTCCAAAGCATTCAAAGCTGAGGCATATCAATGATGCATCCCAAACTAAAAAGCTGTCACAATCCACGTGCAATCAGCCGTAAATGCACTAAAAAATGTCCAAACACAGATAAGATCAGATGAATTAACTCTCATTTCAGCCAGCTATAAGACAAACTGACACAAAAGGCTATCAGTGACAAAAAGTAAGTCAGTTTGTCAAGAGCCGCCAGTATGAAAGACATCTCAGTAGTATTTATCCAGAAGAGAGGAGATATAAGTTTGTATCTGAAGGAGAGAGGATGAGATGATGATTAAAACGCTCCCTTCTGTTCGCAGGAACCAGCAGCTTTGCCCTGTCTCATGTCTCTCTCCCTCCTCTCACCCTCTCTCTCAGATTCTCCCTCTATCTAGATTCGCACTCAAGCACATATAGACATATACCTGCTCCAGGCCTCACATTTGTCTCGACTGGAATCCACTCCAAAGTGCCAGAAGGTTACCTAAGCTTCTGAACTTCATTCACCCTCACAAAGCTGACCAGTGCCTGTGTGCCCGTGAGCACAAAACAGTAGCGAAGCAACTAGTAGATCCGAGCTCCATTCAGGAGCCACACACAGGCTCAAATACCCACTATTCAGATTCAGTGGGTTGAGAGGGGAAAAGTGCTGCTCCTAACATGTTTTATAGAACTGAACATTTGACTCTGTAAGCAAAGTTGATGCTGGTGTGGGTGATACATTTGCATTTTGGTCCCCAAGGAGGAAATACAAATTTATGCTATGAAAAAGGGGAAAATGTTCAGATTTCAACCAGCATTTCTAAACCAATTCTGCATTGTTTTTTAATAAAGGATGGATGTAAATAAATAAATAGAATAAAAAAAATAAATAATAATTGGTTGTTTACACACGTGGGCAGAATTGTTGGTACCCTTGGTAAATATGATCAAAGAAGGCTGTGAAAATAAATCTGCATTGTTAATCCTTTTGATCTTTT